TCAGAACGATATTGACCGAGTTCATATATCTTTTGTTTTTTTTTATTTTTTCTATATATAAAAAATCATGTGATATGACGTAATTTCAACCATTTCAACTTTTCATTTCGACTTTTTGGATTTTCATTTTGACTTCATGTATAGTTTAAATGGTAAAGGTAAAACTTGATTAAATTATATTAAAAGCTTATTAAAAAATCTGCAAAATTCAAAAAAAGGTAAAACTATATCAAAGCTTATAAAAATAGTGAAACTATATCAAACACTTAGTAAAAATTTAATGAAACAAAGGTTTAAACGTTTAGCCAAATCCAAAATAAGTTTAGACCAGCAACCTTAGACGTAATTATATAATTTAATAAAATGAATTATATGGGAGCGTTTCCAGTAAAATCACATTATGGATCATATGATTTACTATGCCTCATAACTTGATTTTACTGGAAACGTTCCCATATATATATATATTTAAAAGTAAATTTAAAAATATATGCATAATACTAATAAATTATTATGATTGTCTAATTATTATAATAATTATGCAGGAGTAATTTTTTAAATGAATCACATGTAGAATTAATTATATGAAACAAATAATTATATTTTTTTTCACTGCATATATAAATGCGTTACAAATATATTAATTTATATATAAAAGTACATAGCCTTTTGCTTTATTCTAATAAAATTTATTACTAGATATAGAAATTTATTATTATCGATTAAACGATATATATCATCATATTAAACATGATTAAAGTTTAATTAATATATAATTATAATGGATCTTTTCACTTATTATTTACTCAAATTCTATTTATTACACCCTGACTAATAAATTTATTACTAATATAGAAATTTATTATTATCAATTAAATGATATATATCATCATATTAAATATGATTAAAGTTCAATTAATATAATTATGCAGAAGTGATTTTTACTTGTAGAATTATAAAACTAAAAAACCATTTTTTTATCGCATATACAAATGTATTTCAAAATATTTCAAATATGATGATTTTGTAAAATATAAATATTAATAGTTTGTTCTTCAAATATTTCAAAACAAAAAATGACTTGTCTTTGAAATTTACAAACTTGCGAAAACTTGATATATTTAAGAGCTCAATACTAAAATAATTTTGAATATGCAAGAAATTCTGATTATGCTGAATGAGAAGAACAAGAAATGTCACGTCTCCAGATAGATATGACATTCAATTTTATAAATTGATAAGAAGTGAATTCTAACTTCTGAAAGGTAATAACTCATCTTAAGTTCTTTATTTGTTTATTTAAATACATATTTATTTTATACATTTATATTTAGACTTGATACAAAGAGCTTATTTAAGAAGAAAATATGATAGACGTCATTTGGAATATCAAGAACACATGCATTCTTGGGAATAATCTAGACATTAAATTATCTTATATACACTATTTTTTTTTATTATTTCTATTTTTATTATTATTATTTTTATTTTTTATTTGTATTTAAAGAAGATTCTAATTTAATAAATTTCTTAAACATATATGTATTATAAAACAAATTAATAAATTATGATGTCAATTCTCATGTGATAAAATTTTTTAGTGGTATCATGTGATATTTTCAAATCTAGATGTAGATTATCATATTATTAATTATATTATTATTTATTTTTAATAATATCACGAGATCCTTTTTATCACGAGATTTTGTTGATTTTTTGTTTATTAATTTTTTTTATATATATATAATCTTTTTAATTCTTTTTCCTCAAATTTTTTTTAAACAAACCAATAAACTTAATTTTACACAAATTTTTCTTTACAATAGAAGCAATTTTATCTATCATGCAACAAATGTTATTGGTAATTTTTGTGATAATAATTGTTCTTTGCTACATTTCAAATAATAAATTTTCATAAAAAAATTTATAGGAAATTAAAGCTTTGCAAGAAGCAAACCCAACATCAACGCCAATAATAATGCTAATACTAATATCAATACCAATGTAAACACCAATACCAATGCCAAAAACAATGCCATTAATCCCTATTGAAAAACTAATACAATGATATATTTCTGCTAAGTAGATTCAAAAAGTTTTTCAAATTGATAAAATGACATATTAAAACATTTTGGTAAGAAGAAATAAATTATAAATATTATATTATTTATAATATTTATTTTTATTTTTTTATTTTTTAAAGTCAGAGAATCGTTTTTATATATTGTTCTTGAAAATTGATTTTAAGATTATCTAAAAAAATAAGACATAATCATTCTATCAAAGGTAATAGAAAAGTATATAAAGTATTTTGTTATTTAACAGTTAGGATAATATTAAGTATTATATTGTTACAATAGTTCAAAAAAAGAAATCCAACAATTCAAGTTGGAATAGAAAATTGGTTAATAAAAGAAAATATTAAAAAATACTTATAATATCATCATGATTATAATAATTATAAAGAAAATAAAGAAAATTATGATGATGATAATAATAATAATAACTAATTTCCCACTCCCTAAAAAAGAAAAAAAAATAATATGAATTATATAGCCAACTTTTACAAAAAAAATAATAATATGAATTTATTAATCATTTGATCTTTATTATTATTTTTTTTAATTATTTTTTAAATAATATTCCTTCTCCTTCTGCTTCACCATCATTATCACAACATTTTCATTTAATTTATGATGAAAATTTTGGTAATTTTGTTTGTTTTTTTAATAAAATAATAAAAGACAAAATATTTGAACTTAATTTATTGTTATTTCTTTTCTTTTTTTTTATTTATTTTATAATTATTATAAAAGATGATGATGATATACCCATCACTAATGTTGTTACTAACACCACTACCACCACAAAATTGTTGCTAATATCACCACCACTAATGTTATTGCTGCCTCAAAGTTGCCGCTAATATAATGCTACTATTCCAAAGTTATTACAAATAAAGTTACTGCTGCCTCCAAAATTACCATAAATAAAGTTGCCGCTATCCCCAAAGTTGCTATTGGCTCTATCTCCATTACCACTACCAATGTTACTGCAAAAAAAGTTGCTTCTACCCAAAGTTATTATAAAAGAAATTTGCTGTTACCCCCAAAGTTACTGTCAATGAAGTTGCTTTCACTAAAGCTGCCACCAATGTTTCAAAAAAAGTAATTTTTATATTTATTTTTAATATTACATTATAAAATAGTATATATAATATAATATATTATAATATAATAATTTAGAAAAATCAAGAAATCAGAAGATTTATTATTCTGATTTAAAAAAATTGGGTAAATATTTTTATATTTTATATTTATATTAAAATTTTTAAATTGTAAAAACTCTTATTTAATATTATAATTAATTAATTTGTATTTATTTAATGATTAAATGTATAACAATTGCAATCAAATTTACATATATAATTTAATATTTATATGTTAAAATGCAACCAAAATTACATAAATTACATATACAATATACTGATTAGACGTAAAAAATATATGCAAAATTACGTATATAATATACTAATTAAAAATAAATTTCGTATTTTTTTGCATACAGAAAAAGTCGATTTTAAGTATCTAGTATACAGAAATACTAATCAAAAATAATGTACATAATATACTGATTAAACATATAAATTCCGTATTTTTCTGCATATGGAAAAAGTTAATTTTCAGTATCTAGTATACGAAAATATTTACAAATTTATTATACTGTTTTTTTACGTTTATTATATGTTTTTTCAACATATTATTTCTATATACTTTCTTATACAGATTATTTATATGCATTAGGGATAATGCATATATGAACTTTTTTTCACTCGCCTGACTGTTTAATATTAAGATCCAGTAATTTATGTTTAACTCAGAATATAATAGAAATAGTTCATCCTCTAGAGTAAATATACATATTAGTAAATGCTATTCTGCTAAATGTTGTTTGGTTAAATGTTTTAAGAGAAAAATTCAAAATATTTTAGGGATCAATTTCTTATGTGTGAAAATTAATTTGGTACATAAATAATCACAGAGTTACCAATGATTTGTGAAGTATCACCTATTACATCATATGCACTTTAATAAAGATCGAAAATATGCAAATTTATATTATACATGTCTATATGGTAAAATGAAAGATATTATCGATTTTTTAAGTACTTTTCATAATAGGCAATAGTAGATAGCAATCAAATGTAAACCTTTGGTAGAAATCAACAGCCTTGTATACTATTCTATCTAATTGCCATTTTAACTGATATTTTTTAATTTCTATACATTTATTAGAAAAACAATAAACATACTCCTCATATCATGAGGTTAATTGTATTAGATTAATTATTTCAATATATTTTAAGTAACTTCTTCTAAATAAATTATAAACCTCATTGCAAGCTATAGCATACTCTTCTTGTATCTCAGGATTTTTTACCATCTGATTATATCTAAGTATACTTAAGAATTTCTTTTTATTAGAGTACTATTATTCCTCATTGCCTCCCAAATCCATTTTGTTAAAGATTTAGGTCTCTTCTTATAATTCTTATAAGTTCGCTAGATAATTGTTATATAGAAATTTTCAAAGCCATAATGTTAGTAGTATTTAGAAATCAAAAATTCCCAAGATCGCTTCATTAATTTTCCTGAAATTCTTCACTAAATAGTTATTATATTAGAAGATCTAACCCAGAATAAGCAAATCATATTTTTTTGGCAGGTGATAAATTTCATGCATAGTGCTTTCAGCCAATTTCACTAGACGATCAATGCATGCAGATTATATAGCTATCATTTCGCAAAAAAATAAAGTATAAGTTATGTTTGGCTAAATATAATTAAGATAATTAATGTTAATATTCAGTTGAAAGATATTATCTATCTTCTTTCTTGTTTTTTCACATAGAATTGAAGTATGCTTTAGCAAGATCATATAAAATAATCCTGCCAGAAATATTAGGCATATTTGATCAATTGTTCCAAAGATTTATAATCTCAAATGCACTTGTATGGGATATATCTCAAAGGAGGAAGAGTTGGCCTTTTTAGTGCTTCAGATTTTTGGTTAAACACATGATGAGAAATTGGCAAAATTATTTTTTGATTAGCATTAGAAACACAAGATGACTTAAAATTTGGAGTATTTAGAACAACATATTTTTGTCTAATGCACCTAATTTTTCTAGTAATATTTTCTAACCATAAAGCATAACTATATAATTTATCTTCAGCATAGATATCGAATTATCTTTAATATAATTATTATCAGTAATAGTGTATAGTTCTCTGCATTTAAATTTACCAAATTGATTCATTTTCAAATCATATTGATGCCACTTGCCAAATGGGATTAGCTGTTTTATTTCCATATCTTCTTTGAAATTTAGTTTGCAAAACTTATTTCCAGTATAAGCTGTGGCCCAATATTGATATATACTCCAATGTGCTCTATTAAAGCTAATATTTCTGAATCTCATAGTTATGAACTTATCTTCCAATCCGTTATAAACAGAACTTTCACCAACTGACAAGTGTTTTATTTTAAGATATACAACTTTGTTGCATAAGTAATAAATAGCGATTCTACATTTCAGGAATAGTTTTTATCCATCAACAATATGTGACAAAACTTTACGAGCACAGAAGTAATCTTTCTCACCATATGTATAGTATTTTTTATTTTGAAAATACATTAAACAATCTCAAATCCTATTTCTTTATTCAGACGAAGTTTCACCATCCATAATGTAACACAAACCAATATATTCGATATGCTCCTCATAAGTACCCTCAAAACTACCACCTAGTGGAGATTTAATCATATTAATATACTTGATTATAGCTATTTATCGATTTATAGAGTTTATACAGTGATTTTTATCAATTTATAGCTGATTTAGCAAGATTATACTCTACTAAATTCAAATTCATTTTTATTCGATTATAAGCATATCAGAGATTTATATAGGATTATAACTCGGCTATGCTAATTTTATATTATGCATAACACAACGCTTTCGGCTAAATCATGACGTTATCATATCACATGTGATCTTCCTAAATCCTGCCAGTTTCTCGATAGTTCTAAGAGTGTTCCAGGAGCTAGTGAGTTTCTATAAATCATGAGATGAGTCTTTTTCACATATTTATTCAAAAAAAAAATAAATATATCAATGATTTCTTAATATTATTATTAACCAACAGACGTTATATATAGCCGATCATGAGTGAAGCAAATTATCGGGGCAGATCAGCCAAACAGATTTTGCGCAGTATAGAGTATAAGTCATGTGAAAGTCTCGGGTAGGATCTCAGATCTCACACGTGATCAAAATGTTACTCAATCGCTCAAATTTGTGATGCAGTCTTTGAAAAAGCATTTGCACTATATGATATAACCCGTTTAATCTATCTTATCTACGCCAATTTTCGGAACAGCTTAAAAATCTTCACAGCCCTTTGAGTTTTTTTACGCAAAGTATTCATAGTAAATCTGCCAGGGAGATGTTTCATTGTATCATTATACATTCGATTTCTTGCTGATTGATCACTATAATGTTATAATAGGTTTATTGTGTCATATTATTACATAAATATTTTAATAATCAAATATATTAAAATTTTCTTCATATTGTAATTTACATTCACTACATTGAATTAACGAGCAATCATTATTTTATTAAATGCATTACAGTTTATTTCATGTCGCAAAGCCTGATATAAAATAAAGTTGTATCTGATTATTTTGATAATGAATTTCTTTTGTATCAAATATTGTTACTTGTAAATTTGTTGATAGTATTTATAGCATTGTTTTCCGTCACGAAGATATATGCTTTACCTGGAACTTTGATTTGATAAGTAGAGTTTAATATATCAAATCCAACAAGACCACAATCGATATTATCAGGAACCTGCTTTTGCCATGAAAATAAATCCTTGGTTTCAATCCAGTCTGTCCAACTCACACCATCGCCTAATGAGACTTCCCATGAAGTTGAAACCTGAAACATATCCACATTTTCCCCGTAGCCATTGGCTTCAGATGGGTATGTATTCCATCCATCATTGTTGCTCATCTTCTCTCTTATGAAGTGAGGAATAACAGTTGATGTCGATCCTGAATCAACCACAAGTCGAAAATTTCGATTATTTGTTGTGTCCCATTCAATATTGGCCATTGTTGCAACTTCGTTCGTGAGATCATCTTTTTTTCGAATTCTCATGTGCACCTGATATTTTGGCAAAAGCAAATTCCTAATAAAGCTCAATATTTAATTGCATATAAAAAAAGCAACACAAACCTGCCACTCCTTCAACGTTACATTTGCGGTAGAAGAGAATCGAATTACAACTGACTTTTGTTTTATAGGAGCGTATAGCATGCCCGGATTTTTCTTGTTGAGCTCCACAAGTTCCTCTCCAGAAATTTCTTGTCCATAACCTACTAACTTTCCGTTTACGATATGTACGTGACTTCCTTTGCACGAGTCAAGACTTTCGGACCCAATAAGACGAAAATATTCAAGAGTATTAATTGCAAGTTCTTCTCCCTGTCCTTCTACGAACCAGGGATCAGGGTTAGTGATATAATCATATATGATACGGCGCGTACTGACACGACTTGCAGAAGGCCAGGTGAGATCGGGCCCAGCAAATTCTATGAATGATATTAAAGATATATAAGATATATAATTCATATATAAATAAATCAAACCGTGTCAGATTTATTGTGTACCATAGAATTTCTCTATATCTTTATCTTTCAATGGCGCGTATTTCTCAAGTTGTTTGAGATCCAGTTTCTGAGCAAACTTTTTGAGATCTGCATTTTTGGAGTTGAATTTTTTGACATGCTCTTCGTTAAGGTTCTCTTTCACTTCGTCAAACATTTTGCTATCTGTAATAAGGTCGGTAATTTCAGCACACTATATAAATATAGAATATCATTATAAATTACAAACCGTCGACCGAAGTTGAGTCACTCAAGTGAGGCTTTTTAGGTAAGTCAGAGTTCTTATTTACTATGTAATGTTACAAATAACACCATTAGAATATAAACGGACAAAGAACATTAATTGAAATGAGACACACAAATCAAGACTTTGTTTAAATAGGCAAGCTTTTCGTCATCATTTCTACAGACAGCAAGGGCTTTCTCCGCGCTAGCTTCAGCTTTGTCATTGAAGGTGAAGTATGAAAGAAGAGTAGACTTTTGTTCTTTTGCAAAGTTGAGACGATCAATTTCATCATAGATATTATCTGTAAGTGATTGATTATTAAATATATTCTTGTTTTTTTTTTTGTTTTAGTTCCTAGAAATTACAAACCAATCTTATTTTTTCTACGAAAGGCGTTTCTTAACATATTTGTTATATTTGTTTGGAATACAAATTATACAGAGAGTAACTTTTACGAATTTGATTGTACTTATATGTAATTTGTTTGTGGCTTAGATGGTGATTAATTATATACTATTTTACGTGAAAGTCACGGGTGGGACCTCGGGTCTCACACGTGACCAAAATGAAAATACGTTTAATCTTATCTACTCCAATTTTCCCGAACAACTTAAAAATCTTCACAGCCCTTTGGGGGTTTTATGTAATGTATCCTTAGTAAACCCGCCAGGGAGATGCTCCTTTGTATCATCATACACTTGATTTCTTGCTGACTGATCACTAACTCCTCTCTGAGCGTTCTTGATCTCCTCAACTCTCTCTTTGTACGCCTTCCCAACACGAAATTTCTTGGATTGCTTTCGTAGCACGTGCCTCTGCTCGACAAGCTTTTTGGAACAGGCGGGCTAAAGTCTTTGGCATTGAAGCTTCCGAATCATCCTCAGTCACTTCATTATTTTCGATAGATTCTCACCTAACAGGCGTAGATAATTCTTGCAAATAAGTCTTTCGCATTTTCTTTTGCCGAAATATTAACGTTAATGGGTTGATGCAAAATTTAGGTTTATTGTTCACAAATTCAACCGCAACTTCTACTGACATTAAATTTGTTTTTTCTTAATTCAGCTTTTTAAAAAAAGATTTCTCATCAAAAAAAAATCTAGCGAACAAATTGCCAAAGTGACAGAAAATGCAGATACTGTATTTTACAAAAGATTTTTCAATAATCAGAAGTGTAATTACAATTGTATAATTTGTATTAAAACCGTTAATACTTGAGGTATCTAATTTCTCATTCAAAAACTTTGACATTTTTATTAATCAGTATGGGATAGTCAAGATGGATTTATTAATAAAGTGGTTTTATATGAAGGCTTACAATTGAGGGACTAAAGATTCATATTTAACATACAATTATGTAACAGCAAGGTTAATATTTAATAAAAAAAAATATAAAGGGAGCTACACTTTGACATATTTTTCTTAAGCCTGACCAAAGACAAGCTACCTTTTCTTCAACACTTGATGATAATTACATTATTAATTGAGAAACCATTTTAATAAATTTAGACTAAAAGTAAATAATTTAAAATAAAACATCAGTATTGTAAGTCGATTCAGAAAGTGTTGTTAAAGGTTCAGGATACATATTCAGTTTTTAAATATTCGGGGTGGACGCGCATCAAGGTATTAGGTAAATTTGGCAAGCTAATTATCTCAGGTACATCGCAATCGAGTTCTGTTAAGGAGTTAGGTAAAGTTGGTAATCTAGTTATTAAAGTATAAGAGCAATTGAGTTTCGTTAAGGAATTAGGTAAAATTGGTAATCTAATTATTGAAGTATAAGAACAATCAAGCTTCATTAAGGAGTTAGATAAAGTCGGTAAGTTTGTTATTGGAGTTTCATTAAAATCGAGTTTTGTTAAGGAGTTAGACAAAGTCGGTAAGTCAGTAGTTATTTCAGTACGAGAGAAGCAGAGTTCTGTTAAGGAGTTTGGTAATGTTGGTAAGCTGTTTATTTGAACATTTTCATAGCAAAGACTTGTTAATTTTCGGTATCTTTCAATCTTCTTGAGTTGTTTAATATATCCTTATTTTCTTCAGTAATAGTTAAACTATCTGTTTCATCATCATAAATAATTACTTCAAGATTTCTAATTCTTTCTTCCAATTCAATAATTACTTCTTGCTTAGCCTTGGTTTCTTCTTCTCGCTCCCTCACTTTTTCTTCCAAATGTTTGTATTGTGAACTTAAACTTAATAGTTTTTCATTGTTTTGTTCTAATTCCTTAAATCTCGTTTCAAAGTCTTTAAGGGATTTTTCTAAATTGTTTTTTAAAACATTTTTTTTAAACATTTTTTTAACGTTTTGATTATTTTAATGAATGAACAAAAAAAAGTTGTTCTAAACATCAAACACTCGTTTTATTGCGCTATTGTTAGAAAATTACCAATAGGAAACTTTTGTCTACTCAGCCCTCGGATTAAAAATTTTCCATATGTAGTATCAATTTTGTAAAGGCGTAGCTTGCATGTCGCATACCCATCAAAAAAATGTCATGGCATTGCCAGCATTAAGGATCGGCAACATGTAGTATGCATATAGGCCTGCAAAAACTTAATACAGGCCGACGTGACATTTTTTGATGGGTACGCAGCATGTCGCATCGCAAAAAAGTTCGTTTTACCATTTCGGACAAAAGATTGATTTTGCAACAAATTTAAGTTCTATATTTTTTTTGAACTGAAAGTTAATTCTTTACTTGTAGAAATGTGAAAATATATTGTTTAAATGAAATTAATAAGTTAAATTTTACGATATTTGATTTTCTGAAATGTTTAAAACAAAATAGTATAATTTATATAGATAATTTACTACATTCATTAATTTAATGAGTCATTTAACAAAATTTGATTGGATATGGATAATATGAACTTTATCCCTTTAATGGTAAAAAAAATTGCAGGCAAATTTGCTTGCAATTTTAATTAATTTTAATTTTAATTAATTTTCAACATTAATTTTTACTAATTAA